TGAAGTGGCTAAAGTGAATAAAGCGCAGAGCGGCAGACGACAGCTGGGCATACGCGATACTTACTCTAGCCAATGAAGCCTACTAATCTAAATTCAATGAGCCAGCAGGTTTATTCCTGCTAAAATTCCAAAGACAAGATGGCTTAACTCCAAATGACTAACCCGTTTGCTCCATCCCACGTGGACCGAACTAGGCAAACACTGATAACCGAAAACTTGCGCTAGATGAATATCTTATACTCGCAAATTCAAGGTCTCCCAAACATAAAATAGCATTGAACGAGCGGTAGCACAATATACACGGCCTTTTAACTTCACTGAAACGTTGTGTCTACGCCACAAATGTTTCAGTCCTGCGTACACTTCTCGAGCCTTGGAAATGCGGGTGGTTATCTCGGTTGCTTCACTACCGTCATCGATCACACAACTGCCTAAACAGGAAACGCGATCCACTATAACTGATTCTCGGTCATTTAATTTTAAAATGGGAGAAGACAACATCCAGTCTTTCAGCATAAATTGCACTTTGAAGGTGCAAAGCACATGTCGAATGTGTCAACAGAACCTGTTAGTCTATCAAGTGCGTTTTGCGCGTCCTGTGTACATTCGAACAAACAAACGATGTCATCGGCCTACTTCAGATGCCCATTCAATAGCTACGTTTTAGAAATCACTTAGTATGGTCTCCAGAATTTTGTCTACGATGAAATTGAACCAGAATGAACAATTCATGGGAGTTATAAGGCATGACAGACTTTCATCAGTTTCAACGCACATAGATTCCATTGGAAAAAAGCACCAGTGTGTCGCAGTCACGTGGTACGATGAACAGTGGAAAGGACAGGTTTTGCACCCAAAAGTCCTAATGGGTTACAAATGAAGTCATCCTCTGTTAGCTCCGAATTTCGCAACGAAGGGGACAGCAAACCTAGAGTAGCGCGTGCCTGGTACTGATCCAGATTCCCCTGAAGGTACTCGGGAGTAGTTCGAATCATGAATCTCACCATCCTACTGGAAGAAACTTAGGCTAATTTTGGTCACCATTCAGTGTAAGACCCAGAGGTGAACTTTGGAAAAATCAATCGACTCGTCTTCCTGCGGTTATGCAACCACTCACTTCGCACGAAAACAGCGGTACTGCGGCGGCAGTTTCCGAATAACTCACCCAGTCAAAATTATGCGAGAACACATTTACTTTGCCTGTGTGGTGCAAATACTTGCTATGCGCATTGGTTTATCCGCAACTATCCCCTTCAGCTTCTCTATCCTGTCCCCTTCGTTTTATCCCCGGTAGCTAGTCAAATGCAGGTAACTCCTTCATGGAAAAACGACTGTATCACTAACTATTCAATAAAAAGAACACGAACGATCCGGTTCGCGTGGCTATCATAATTAAATAAAAATATTCAATATAAGAATATTCACAATGTGCAGAAATGCAAATGACCATAATACTGGTGAACTATGCGTTCAATAGACGGGGCCAGCTGCTTTCGTTGAACAAAAGCTTCCCTGTTTGGGGATGGGATTTCCCGCCTCGATTGACGGTGAACCAAACAAATCGATTATTCCGTTCATCCGTTAACAACCCCCCTCCTTCCCCAAATCGAACTGGCCTTGTTCCCTTTGTCCCGTGAATTGGAACGAACCACCGGGGTGAGTGTTTGACCGGTATAGCATGTCCTTACAGGTCACCGGGGTCAGCTAAGTCCACCAGAAGAAGAACATGCATGTGTTTACAAAATCAGGCTAGGTACACAAATCTTAGATTGGTCCTATGGGCATGATGGTTGTTTACTGCAGTTCTCCGTGCGAAGAAAGATTCGTTGTCACAGTTCTGCGTATCGATGGTTTTCACCTCATCAATGGTGATGTATTTTTTTGGGTGGTTGGTTCTCAAAATTAATGGGCCGGTTGATGTTCACAATCGTGAAAAAGAACTCTTTCAATACCCTGAACTTTGAAAGTAAATATGATGCACTGAATTCGTATTGCCCATAAAACATATTCATTGCAACAGTTCTACATTTTATTTGTGTGAGAAAATCTGGTTGTGTGGTATTGTTGTTTCACAGTGTCCTTTAGTTAGAGTTGTACAGGAGATGTATGATGATGATGATGATGACGATGGTGGTGATGGTGGTGGTGTTATACATTTATGTGGACGTGGTTCGTGTCATTTACCAAACTCTTACATACCGATGTACACACTACTGTTCTCTTTGCATAATGAATAAATATTTTATGAATTCTGTACGGAACTGAATGACTCGTAGAAAACGTTCCCCAAGGACGAGCGAAAGTAAAGCCCCGGTTGGTAATCCAAGTGTGCTGTGAAAAGACATGAATCAAAAAATATTACATATATCGAATTGCGCGACGATCCGATCTCCCGGATACAACCGACCGAGAGGCAGAAAGCACGGCTTCAGAAAAGGAGGCCTTACGAAGTGAATGCGCTGAGAACTAAGCAAGTTCTATACATGGACAGCAGAGTTTAAAGAGGAAGATTTTTCCAGTTCGATTCTTACAGGAGCCCAGATACTGGTATTGAGTCGCACGAATTACCACGGGCTGTAATTGTGGTCTCTGAAATGACAGTTAAACATGAACGGAAAGCCGGTCAGCGTCTTTAGATAGACCGGTACCGATAGACACATAGTAATGGGTAACTCTTGAAAAGTTGAGGAGCGAGATCAGGCAAAGTATGGTCCGTAACTCACATGACTGAACTCAAGGGTGTAACAGAAAAAGCGACTTGTCATGGGACCCAAGGAAGGATCACACGTCACCAGACAATTATATAGTTAGGGATGTGAGTAATACACTAACGTTTGTGATAGATTGCACATTCAACTGCTGTGCATTGCACAACCTAGACGGTGAATATTCCAATTTTCCCATTTGAGTTTTCATAGGCACTAGAAATGCATTCAACTGATCGGACGTTGATGATATTCCAAGGCGTGAAGTTCACACTCTCCAGATCAGCAACAGTACCCGTTGCCTGTCAAAAATCTAGCTGGATTATTTCAATTAACGTCTAACTTGACTGAACTATTCGTTCCAGTTGCTGATGGTCAGTCATGTAACTCAGGAGTAAGAGTGTCGACTCCCAATCCGAAGATTGCCGGTTCGAATCCTGACGAGCGCGCAAAAAGTGCACACTATCGCCGACCCCCAAACGGGGAGAAACAGTTGTCATCACGGTCATCACGGAAATTTCTATCGTTGCATAGCTCCTTTGAGATAGCCACTATTTGAATAGAAAAAATAATAAATGTCTTTTCCAGACGGGGTGCTGGTTAGGGGTTGAGACCAGTGATGTTCACTAAACCAAATGTGAATAGTATCACTCGAATTTTCATAGATCAATCCAATAGATTAAAATGCTGCTCTTAATTGATCGTCTAATGTTGCATTATTCAGTTTGATGCCATTTCGATGATGGGAGATCTTGCCAACTTCTTGTTAATTACTAGGCCCATGTGTCTAACTGGAGACTTTTGAGTTTCAAAGCTTCAGGATATACATTATCCGTTCATACAACCGTGAGGTGAATCCAGTCAGAGAATGTGACGACGATGATGACGATGATGGTGATGGTGATGATTCGGATGACTTGGATGACTCGGATGACTTGGATAATGATGACTCGGATGATTAGGTGGTGTTTGACGGGATTGTTCTCTCTCCTTTTCTATTTATCTTTGTTATAGATACGATTATGAAAACAGCCCTATCTTCATACGAGGATAGCGGCATCGATTTACTCCCAGGTGGCAGACTGTCTGATCTCGAGTATGAAGACGACATTGTGCTACTAAGTGACCATAAAGGTAAGTTACAAGCCTTTCTAGATAGTTTAAGTGCTAGTGTAAACAGGTTCGATCTGCGTTTTGCACCTTCAAAGTGTAAAATGTTACTACAAGACTGGGTTGGTCCAGCACCCAGCTTCACCCTAACTGGGGAAGTAATAGCGCAAGTGGACTAATTTTTTATCTAGGCAGTAATATCTTACCCGGTGGACGCATCACGGATGTCAGCTCGCATACAGAGGGCTCGATTGGCATTTGCCAACTTGAGACATCTGTGGCGCCATCGCGACATCCGGCTGTCTGTTAAGGGTCGAGTATATGCTGCGGCAGTTCGGCCAGTTCTGCTATACGGTGCAGAAAATTGGCCATTAAGGAAACAGGATAAAGATAGACACTTAATGTTCGAACACCGCTGTCTACGCAGCATTGCACGAATCTGGTGGGCTAGCTGGATGATCAATGCTGAGGTTAGGCACAGAGTTTTGGGTATCTGCAGTCGTCCACTGGAGCAAGTGGTCGATCTCCATAGATTATGTTGGTTGGGCCATGTGTTACGAGTGATGTTCGCCGAGGCAGGTAGTGGATGGAAGAAAGTCAAGGCTTGGCATGAGGGCATGAAAACACTAACCACGAGTCTGGGTCACATAGGTCCCGTTAGGCTCCCTGTATGAGGATCTCGGGATGATCATACCCGATGGTTAGAGACACTGAATGATATGGCTGGGTGTCGTAAACAGTGACGTTCGTGCATCTTGTCAATTTTGCTGCAAAATTAGTGCAATGAAATCCTAAATTTTCTCTTCGATCCTACTTTCAACCTTTCCTGTCTTTCTCCTTATGTTTATCCAAATGGGCAGCCAAGAGACAATAACCAAACCCGGCGCACGATAGTGCATGGTTAATGATTGTAGAAACTGAAACTGGAACTGGATGATGAAGGTAATGATGACTTGGATGATGAGGAGCATTCCGAAATAATAATTCCGTGTATGTATGCTGCTTACACAGGGTGTACTCGTGAAAATCGTACAAACCGTATTATGCACATTGTTTTCTCACATCAAGATAGTTTCCTAACGCGTTTTAAGATTAAATTCACTCAGTTTTCACCGAAAAGTACACATATGAGTCTATCCGAAATATTGTCTCCTGTATTCAAGATAGATACAGCTGATCTTTTTCATGGATGGTCACCCAAGGCTAAGATGCGGCTGGTACTGGGAGGAGACCGACCAAAGTAATCTGATGTGCATGTCAATCGACACCATGGTAGAAATTGCTGGTTTAGGTGCTGAAGACTAAAGAATAATACAAAACTAGAGGAAGAGGAATTAAATCATCTGGTTTATGTCTACCCATATTTTTTTAACAATATTTATTAATTATTAGTTTTTTTCAACTAGAGTTTCTATATTCTAAACTTCGTACACCTCAAACGATTATTAAAATCGAAAATATATGATTTTATAAATTATTTAGTTAGTAGAGCTAGTAGATTAATACTATTCCCTTGTGCGATGCTTCAAATGTTAGTCGTTGAGAGAGAGAGCATTCCGACGGGATTGATGCAATATATTTGTAACATCATCGTTGCGATATATTTGAATGAGTGTGCTTTACATTTCGCTCCCACCCTCTCCACCCGACCCGCTCTCTCTCTGTATTCCTCGCTATTGACTGAACGAATTCTCAGGAGGCAAACCGTTTTGTTCCGAGCCGGAAGAGGTGTGCAACATGTTTCGTCCTTGTTGCGGTCGTGATTGGGTTTGCCGTCGTCGTGGTGCTCCGCTAGGTGTTTGTGTGCATTGTATCCCAGCGAACGGACAATGTGAGCACAGTCGAGAGTGTTGTTTGGGTGTGTGTATTGACGGTCAGTGTCGTCACGTGATGGCCACCACAGAATGACACAAACTGAACCCGTTTTCCGTCCCAACTGTCTGTCCAAGATTATGGTCGTAACCACAACAAAAGAATTCCAACCGTGGCATCACACTGCTCGGGTCTATTGCTCGTTGTTGCTGTCACTGCCATCAATTCTTTCCACCGCCACCACCACCACCGCTGCCGCCACCTCATCATCATCGTCGCTGTCACTGGCACTGCCGATCTCGATTGCAACACAATCTCCGATCTCACTGTGCTGACTTGCTTTTGCTTGTCACAAGATGAACATTTGCATTCGGTTATCAAAAATGAACTTNAGTACGCGCTCGCCGTAGCGCGCGAGCGCGCACACACACGCACACACTGACATGACAAATAAGGTATACGAGATTAAAGTATGCCCAATAAATATATCTAAAAAATAGAAAAGAATGATTTGTGG